TCCAGTTTCCCCACAATAGCTGGGCTTGATCATCCCAGGCCAGTAACTCACTACTTTGTTCCTTGGATCACTAGCATGCAGAACCTGGTATGACCAACTCTCAGATTTTCTCATCTGGTAGGGCCTGGAAGAACAGGCATGGGAGGACAAACTCTTCTCTGATTATTGATGGTACTGATAATAACCTAATAGTGATAATAAAAGGATGCCTCATATTTTCTTTGATTATTAGACCCACATACAATAGTTGTGAGGGAAAAATACCGTATATTGGATGTGGGTACAACAGCACTCTTTGCTAGATACTGTACCGACTGGCTCTTTAATGGGTCTCTAGCAGATCATTCTGTGATGTTATCTGTCTAGTAGCTGATGGAGGCTGGGTACACTATAAAACCAGCTGGGATTCCATGAGAACAAGTCACCTATTTATTTGGTGATGAAATGAGTTATTTGGTCAGAAGCAATAGTGTGAGAAGTAACAGGTCAATGAATAAGCATTCTCTAAAGCCACAGATGGTCATGAGCAGTATAGTCTAATTTATATTCAGTAAAAGTGTTGAATTCAGTGAGGGCAAATCATTGCTCCTCCATGATGGAAGGGGTCATGCAATCAATTTGCTACCTGTGATTAGATGCTTTTCCAGGGATGTTCCCCACTTGGTTCTCAGCATTCATCTCTGCTGTGGACAGCTTCCACTGAGCAGTGGTGGTAGGCATTCTAAGTTTAATGAAGGTTGGTCCTTTTTAAGCTCATGCACATTCTTCATCTCTGTCACTATGTTCAGATACCATTATATAATAGCCTCAATGGCTTTAGGAAGAGATTGGTTGATATTGGTATTGTCTCCTGTTGTAGAATATTATTTTAAGGTATGTTACTTTTGTTTATGTTGCATTTGTTTAACTCTGTGAAGCTGTGTTACTGTACCTGTCTAAAACACCTGATTGTCTAATAAAGAGCTGAACAGCCAATGATGAAGCAGGAGAAACAGGTGGGGCTGGCAGACAGAGAGGATAAATAGAAGGAGAAATCTGGGAGGAGGAAAGAAGTAGCCAGAGAAAAGGGGGATTCCATGGGCCAGCCACCCAGCCATGAAGCAAGCCACAGAGTAAGAGTAAGTTTTACAGAAGTAAGAGAATAGGAAATGCCCAGAGGCAAAAGGTAGATGGGACAATTTAAGTTAAGGAAAGCTGGCAAGAAACAAGCCAAGCTAAGGCTGGGCATTTATAAGTAAGAATAAGCCTCTGTGTGTGATTTCTTTGGGAGCTGGGTAGCAGGCTCCCAAAAGGACAAAAGCAAACAACAACCGTCTCTCTTGGATGGACAATCATACAGGACACAGATATAATTTTTGCCGTGTCAAGAGGACTATTCATATAATTTCCCTCCATTTTTTTTTCTTGCCAAATACTGATTTTCTAGCCAAACAACTGTCTAGGGACTATGAATCAGTGTAGACCTAATTCTCTGATAGTCTTGCTCAGACAAGTTAGATGGAAAATATGTTGCCCTAATGTTCTCAATACCAGCATGGGGTCTCCTCTCATGCTGTTCTTTGGGCTACTTCTGGCTAGGTTTGGAATTCTGCAGCATCCCACTTTGGCTTACACCAGTATGTTGCACAGTATCAGCTACAAATCCTACCTAAGCGTGAGACTTTTTCAGACTGCTGAAGATGGGATGATGGAAGGTGATGTAGGAGTGTTAGCTACCTGCTCATGCAATGTGTGTGCCCACTGAGCCTAATACAAGTCCCATATATTACCACTTTACTATTGGGCTGCAATGTATCCCTAGTCTTATGACTTTGCAGTTCACATATGATCAAGTTTGTGAGGAATGGCTCCTGTGTGGTGTGGTCATTTGATATTTCATAGGGATTCCATATCTTCCACAGTGCAAGCCAAAATCTTAAACATCTTAACAGATAACTATATAGAGTATTCATGACCTTGTTCAAAACTTTAACATCCTCTTCTTTGACCTTGTATTGGGAAACTGTCAAAGGCTTCATATAGTGTCTCTAGTTTGCCTCATGTACCTTGAAGACGGTGGCATAGCAACTTTCATGTCACAAGACTTGATTGAAAAAAGCCTTATTTACTTTCTTCTGCCACATGAAAATGGGGGTGATCTGAAAAACTCGGTAGATGGTTTAGGGCAGCAAATAAAATATGGTTTGTATTTCTTTTGGATACCCAAGATCTTAAGCCTGGGATATCTTTCTTTGTGGCAGGCAATGCAAGAGACAGACAGAACTTTTATGTTGGAAGGTATATGTAACTAGAGTTTTCCTGTCTTGCCCACAGTCAGGACAAATCTTTGTCTCCTGCCAGTCCCACAGCCACTCAGACCCAACCAAGTAAACACAGAGACTTATATTGCTTACAAACTGTATGGCCGTGGCAGGCTTCTTGCTAACTGTTCTTATAGCTTAAATTAATCCATTTCCACAAATCTATACCCTGCTTCATTGCTCGTGGCTTACTGGCATCTTTTCATGCTGCTTGTTAGGGTGGCGGCTGGCTGTGACTCCTTCTGCCTTCCTGTTCTTTCTTTTCTCCTCTCTGCTAGTCCCGCCTATACTTCCTGCCTAGCCACGGCCAATCAGGTTTTATTTATTGACCGATCAGAGCAACACATTTGCCACACAGACCATCCCACAGCACAGCCAAGTGCAGACCATCTCAGACACCTGCACTCAGGCCTGTGGTCCTAATCATCCTCTATGCGGACCTGTTGGGTAAGGAAAGCCACAAGGAACCCAAGAACGGGCTCCCACAGCACATACAGAACATCCCACAGCAGGTATATCCTAACTAAACCTAAGACCCTCGGGTCCTCAGAAAATGCACAGTTTTAGTTTCTGAGTTTTGTGGTATTTATTTTCTATTTGTCAGTATATGCAGCAGTAAACATTTTCAGCATGTCTGGCTGGCATTAATGGCATTTGCATAATGCATCCATATGAAGCTATGTAGAGTATCAAGATGCTTAAGCCCCAGTAGCTAGTTTGACAAATAAAGGGTTACCATTGCTTCGAGTCAAGAGAGTGAAGGCATATCATCATCCTTAATGATAGCAAATGACTTCTGAAAGGAGGTGTGTGTGTGTAAGAGAGAGAGAGAGAGAGAGAGAGAGAGAGAGAGAGGGGGGAGAGAGAGAGAGAGAGAGAGAGAGAGAGAGAGAGAGAGAGAGAGAGAGAAGAGAGAGAGAGAAGGAGAAACGCAAACAGGCAAGAAAGAGAGAAATATTTGTAGATTAACAATCATCTACCAAGTGCCAAAGGCAGAATGATTTTTTTCCATCACAAGTGTACCATAGTTGGGCCATCATATTTCAACAATAAATAGTTATTCTTTATTTTTTTGAGACCCATTTATCTTTTTTTGGTAGGCCAGATAAATGTACAAAGTGGGCAGTGTGACAAAAATTCTTACTCTTTGCTCAGCCCTAAGTAGGACTTCTATATCACAGCCTCTCCAAAATTCAAGGACTATAAGAGAAGAATGGGTAAAAAGATTGTAAGGGCCAGAAGTCAGGGAAGACCTGGGAGAAAGAGTTTTCCATACACGAGAGGACCACTGCCCTTCTGGACTCACAATAGTGGTGGTTGCCTGCTCTAGATCCACACAAGATCACGCCTATTAAAAAATTAATGCAGAGAGGTCAGAGGCTCATGAGAACCCAATCCTAGCAGAGGAGCTATTGGAAAGTTCATGGCTGCTAAGGGAAGGAGAGTCAGTTTTCTTTAGGGGTGTGTATCCTGGTATGTCAACCATGACCCAGTGTATGGCCCCACACCTGTGCATACATTGGCAGCACAAACCTGACTCACTGGAGTACTAAACAAAAGAGGACATGAAGTTGGGGGTGGTGGTGGAAGATGTATTCAGGAAGAGTTAGGTGTAAATACTATCAAAATACAAAGTTTTGTATAAAATGTGAATTTCTCAAAGAATTAATAAAATTATAATAAGAACAATTTTATTCCTGTATTTGTGTTATTCTTCAAATCCCCAATTTCTATGATTCTTGAAGAGATAAATAATTCATTTGGGATTGACTATTTTAGTAGAGCAGAGGTCCCAGGGGCTCCACTTGCTTCCTGATATCATAATAATCACCACCCTATAGTTCTGTGGATCAGAATGTGGACGCTCCTAGGTTCTGAGCATGTCCCTGCTGGTTATACATTAAAGAAATGGGGACCAACCACAAAGTGAATTTGTAGGCTCACTAGACACACGGTGAAATAATCTCAAACCAAAACAATCACCGTCTCTCTGTGAGCGCAAGTATTAAGTGTGCAGCACAGTGATTGAGTTCTCAGCCTCTATTTAGAGCTATTATCTAAAGTTCCACATACTTTCCTCCGGTGGTCCTAACAAATGGCCACAAGTCATTATGGTTTGTGGAGAGACTTACACTGTGGCTGTGTTCCAAGGAGCCTTAGTAACTGACATAGGCTCTGTCTTCCTACAAGGGCTCACCATGCTCCTTCCTCCATGCTGTAAGCATCTGTAGCTGTACAGTTAATTCTTCGGTAGGCTTGCAACTCATTTCATCCATATGCATGCTATAATCAATTAGGCAGTACTAAAAGTTCCATAAAGTCAAAACATTCTGGTTGCTACTTCATCTCTGTGTTTTAGTGTTAACTAAACTAATCTTGTGACTCATGATTTACTGTCATTTGGATTATTATGTTATTCCTGGATCCTATTATTCCCATCAACGTACAAAGTCACTAAAATGGCAACGATATTTCACATTATTCATTAAAATCATTACTAAAATATGTCGACTATATTATAATATTAAAAAATTTCCAATTATTGGCTGCTATATTTGATTTTTATACATTGAACCTATATACTATGACCTTGTTAAATGAATTTATTGATCATAGTAATTTATTTGTAGACTTCTTAGGATTTTATACACATGCCATCCGTGCATAAACATTTTACTTCTTGCATTGTAATTTTTATAGATGTATAGGCTGATTTCTGCTTCATCATCTAGACTTCAGAACAATGGTAAATGGAGAAGGTGACAGTGAGTATCTTTGCCATGTTTGCTGTGTATTGCCTTTATAATTTCCTTCAATTCCTACTTCTAAAATTAAAATAGATGTTACATTTTGTCAAAAAAAATTCCTGCTCCCATTGAGATATTCAAATGATATTTTTCCATTTTCTTAATTTACCAGTGAGACCATCCCTTCTTTGAATTTTCTTTACAGGATTAAAAAAATTATAAATTATATGTCTAATAGTCATGGGGCTGTTTATATTTTGTATTAAATCTTACTGGTTGTGATGGATTGTGTTTTCAAAGGAAAGTATCTATTTTTTGGAATATTAACATAATTATTCATAATCTCTTATTTTTGAGTACTTGTAAGATCTGTAAGGATAGTCCCGTTTTGATCTCTGATACTGAAAGCATGCATACCTTTTTCTTATACTGTGTTAGTAGAAAACTTTCAATTTATTAATATTTTCACAAAACAACTTGAACGCTGGGCATAGAGGTTCAGTCCTTCAATTGGAGCACTTGAGAGGTTGAGGCAGGCGATCTCTGTGAATTTGAGGCTAGCCTGATATACACATCAAGTTCCAGGCTAGCCAGGGATACAATAGTAGGATGCTTACTCAAAACAAATAAACAAAAAGGCAGCTTGGTTTTGTTGACTTTCTGTATTATATTTTCTGTCTTATTGACTTTTATTCTTATTTTTACTGTATTTTTCTTCTACTTACTTTGTCAATTATTCTGCTTAGTTTGTTTATTGTTTTATAACTTCTTATGCTGTAACTTTAGACACCCCTTTTGTAACTTTCTTCATTTCTGTGGGACTCTGTAAAGCTGGTGGTTTCCTGATAATTGCTAGTTTGGTATTTTGCTCTTTCTCCGCTCATAGCTTACATGAGAACCTGAGCTAGACAACCCTCCGTTCAAATTCCCTTCTAAGGTGACTTTGGGTCCTATGGAGTTGACAAAGCTGTCGCAGTGACCCAACATTGTTGGGGACACACATGTGAGCTTGACACAAAGGCAGATTGTGTTTTCCAGTTCTGACTATAACACTTTCTTCAATTTCACCTGCTCACCTTCAAATATGGTCAGGACTTCATCCATCTTGTGGTAAGGACATTATCCTTTGTATCTTCTTTTGGAAGGCTTTTAAAAATTATATTAGAGTTATCTTTCTCCCAGATATTTGCGACATTCATGTCTGAAGTCACTAAGTTGTGGTGGACAATGTTAAGGGAACCTGTGGACAACCCCATAGTTTCTGCCCAGGCGTCTCTCTCTTGTTAGTTTTGTATTTCATATTTTTATTTGAAAAAACATAAATTTTGTTAACATTTTCAAAGTGCCTACTATGTTTCTAGGCAGATGTTCTCTGTGTGTTCAGATTTTATCAGCACTTAGGATTTGTCCTTTATTAATTGCTAATTTTCTAATTCTGTAGTTCCCCTCTTTATCCTTGATTAGGTTAGCTAATGCTATATATTAATTATTATGGTCTTTCATCCAAGGATTCTGTTTATAACACATTCAACCCTTTTATTTAACTTTAAAAATTAAAATATTTCATTCTGTTATTTGTGGATTACCAGTCTATTATCTTTTGAGCTTTTATTTTCCTTGAATATTTTAAAGATTTGTTTCTCTCTCTCTTTTAGATTTCTCTGATGCATGCTCATATGTGAAGTAAAACTCCACAATTTTGAATGTGGCCTGGTTCTAATTTATAATGTTATTGCTTTGTTTTTTTAGATATTTAACAGTTACAATATATCTATTATTTCTGATTCAATAGTTAATTAAGAGAGATCCCACCCCACCCCCATTTCTAAAGGCTTGGCTTTTCTACATTTCTGTGTTTGTTACTATTTATTGTTTTATTATGCTGCAGCTTACAATGAGGTTTGTATTATAACAGCTTCTTGGGATTTATGTTTAAAAGATGGTAATTTTGTAAATGCACCCATAGCAACCTAGAGAGGCACAATTTTCAGGATATTGTTCCCATGTTTTGCTTCCTTATTTTCATATGCTTTCTCTGTCAGAGAGCTAAAAAGGTACATTAAAGCCTTTTGTGATTTTATGCTTTTTGTCAGGTTCTCTTTGCATTCCCTGTGATTTTACTTACAAACGTTGACATTTTGCTATTTGATTACTAATGTTGTGTGATTGTGTTAGCTCCATATTCTGTCATTATCAAGGGACTGCTCCTGGCCCCCATGCGGTGCTTTTGACCCAGAATTTAGTTCTGTCTGCAAGCAACATCACAGTCTCTAACTTTCTCTACTCAGGTATCTGATCCAGGTTAGAATGGTTGTTTGGGGGGAATAGAAGTGCTGTGGCTAGGTGTTGCCCTGGGTGTTGCCTGTGTTGTTTGTCCTTGTAGTGGAGAAGGGTCTCCTGCAAGTCCTTGGCTTCTCCTCAGTCCAATGAAGCCTGATGTTTCTCTCTATCCCAGCTTGGAACCCCTAAGATCCCCTTCCTTTCTTTTTTCTTCCTCCTCCTTCTTCTTGGTAAGTTTTATAAGCATTGAGAATAAACCCTTGAATAAGATACAAATCCAAAGCCCCCCCCCCATCTGCCCTGAATAAATAGGTTTATTATAATACACACAAAACAAGAAAAAATGTATACAAAAGGAATATGTGAATATATAGGCAAAACTGGATAAAAGAAAATTACTTGAGCATAGATTACTAGTAACATACCTTAAACATTTTATTAGCATCTGCTTATTACACATAATAATGCGTTTCATTATGGCACCTTTAGACATACAGAAAATGTATCTTTATTACATTTTTCCCAATTACCTTCTCTTGTTCCCCCGATATGCCCACTGAGCCTGTTCTTCTTCCTACCAACTCCTCCTACTTTCATGCCTTCATTGGTTTGTTTATTTATTTTGATGCCCAATTAGTGTCATAAGAATTGTTCACAGGGTCCTGGGTGGGGATTATTTATTGTAGCAGGGGTTCCTCTCCAGTGGCTACAGCACTAAAGGAAATATCGTTCTCTCCTATTGACCATTAAATACCTAAAGATGCTCAAGGAGAGGATCTGGCTCATCGTCTGCAGACAGGTCTTCATGAGGGAATCTCAAAGGTTCTTCTCTACCCTTGTTCTTATGACAGTCATGCTGTCAGGTCCAATCTTGCACAGGCCTTGTATGGATAATCTCAACTGCTATGTGATCAAGCCTCTGCAATTAATACTGACCACTGCAAAAAGAAAGTTCTTTGACCAAAGCTGATAGTAATACTAATCTATGAGCATGGATATAATTATTTAGGCAACAACATGATGGACACATCCTGTGATAGTCATGCCCCAGTGATCACCCACGCTCTGGCGGGACAGTCATTTCTACCCAGTCATTTCCAGGTCATACGTCCTATGTCAACCCATGTGCTATGTGGTCGTGTAATTTGCATGGCATGTGACCATGTAATCTATGTGCATGCTTGGAGTAGCTGTGTGGACCTGAGTGCGCATGTGCAGGCTAGCCCTTAAAAGGCGGGCCCGCATACCCTGCCCTCTCTTTTCATGTGTTTTCCACAGGCCTGAGCACATCTTCTTTTGTTTTTTTTTCTCTCTTTTTGATAAAACTCTTGTTGGTGGGTTTGCCGTGTTTGTGTCTTTACCTCACCTCAAAAACCAACAACCGAGCCGTGACTCAGGTTGACCCTCCTGGCGCTCTGCGCCTGGGAACCTGTGCTGAGGTTCTGCCCTGACCACAACAGCCCGCCTTCCTGGCCTTGGCCTTCACTGGCTACGGCTGATCCCTAAGCTGGCTCGGGTTTCTATCCATTTCCCACCTCTGCAGTTTGAGGTTTATTTGTCACCGTCGGACCTGCTGCGTTCTGCGGCCACGTATGGCCTACACATTTCACTGGCCTGACGAGGTGGTAAATGCTGTAGGACTCCCGGGGAGTCCCTGTCCATGTGAGCCTAGGCCCCCACCCCCACTTGGCAAAGCATGGCGGTGGCCTGTGCCTATTTATAGACTCACTGTTAGTCCTGGGGACGCCCGGAACTTTGACCTTTGGTCATTGCATCTTTTTAAGTTTTCCTCTCTGCTGCAGACATGGGAAATAAGTCTTCCAGTCCCATCAGTCCCACCTCCCGCCCCCCCCTCCGCTAGGATGTGTTGTGGAACCTCTGAAACCTCTAAGCTTAATGCCTTACTTAAAGATCCCCAAGCTTGTCCACCTCTGTACTAAGAAATGGCCCAAAAGTGCTCTAGCTAATAACAAACGCTGGCCGCCTGGCGGCTCCTTAGACCCCGATACTTTATGGGAACTGTTTAACTTTTGCCAGCAAACAGGCAAATAGAAAGAGTTACCCTATGGTCAGGCTTTTTTCTATCTAAGCTCTAAACCTTCCCTTCTCGATTCTTTCTCTCCTGCTCATGTGCTTATAGCTGTTAATCCTGAACCAGGGGAACCTCTGACTCCAGACCCCACCAACCAACCTCCGCCTTTCTGACCTTCCACTCCTGCTTCCGCTCCTACCCCCACCCCCAGGGCTGCTGCTCCTCCTCTGGCTTCCTCTTCCCCTTGAGTACTGGGGTCTTCCAAAAGACTGCCTCTGGCTCCAACTTTCACACCTCCCACTACCCGCTCTCAGACTGCTAAGGGATCTGACTCCAGCCATGCCAACCCTCAGACCATTCTCCCCTTTTGAAAGGTTGCTGGGGTGGATGGACTGGTAAAAGTTCATGTCCCATTCTCTCTTTCAGAACTCTCTCAGATAGAACAAAAGCTAGGTAGAACATGAGACTCTTAATCTCAGGGTCGTGAGTTCGTGCCCCACGTTGGGCGCCAGATATTGGTGAAATTATTAAGGTCACGCCACATAGTTAAAAGGAGATTTATTTAATGGCGTAACTTACAAATGAAGGAATAGGTAGGTTGAGGGTTCTGGGAAAGACGCAGCAGTATTTCGGCGATGTTCTCTGGAGAACTCTCCTCTGTCCACATCTAGCATCCGGGCTCTCAGCAGCAAGAGCGTGCAGCAGT